AGAAGACAGAACAAAATATACACAAGAACAGAACAAATAGCAATAGGGGAGGCTAGAGACTGTAATCACTTTCTTTTTTAATTTTTTTTTCTTGATTTTTTAATGTAATCACTTTCTTTTAAAACTAATTGCAATTGAGAGAAGGAAAAAGAAGAAAGGGAGAAGAAAGAAAATACATTTGAATTAAGGTAGGAACAGGAACAAAAAGGGTGAGCAATGGAGATCAAGGTGAGAGAGAGATAGTGAGAGAGAGCATGAGAGAGAGAGAGAGAGAGAAAGAAACAAGATTTAAAAAAGGAAAATAATTTGAGAAAAGAAAAAGACAGATAAAATATTTTTAAATGATTAAAGATAAGAAAAAATATTACTTTGAAAGTAAAACATACAAATAGAAATAGAGGGCCTCCTTCGGGGTATGCCTCTGTTGACACAATAGACAGCATGGGCAGGAATGTGCAGGTCTGCATTAATTAGTCTCTGCAAGCCAGCAGCTATCCCCTGAGGTTCAGGCTGATTTCTTGCTGAAAGGCCCAAGTTGAGATCTCTGTCCTCCTGCTGGGTTGAACTCTGCAAGATTCTACTGCAGGTTCCAGCTGTCTTTCCCCTGAAGTCAGACCAAGTTCCAATGTGAGGTGCTGGTTCCTCCGACTTACCAACTATGGTGCTGTGGTATGCCTTTATCACAGATTTTCTTCTCTTTTCCAGTGGACTTCAATTTTCATCTAGGAGCCTCAGAGACACCTTCTTTCTCTTGTTTGCAGGTGATGGGGGAAGGGCATGAACACTGCTGAATGCCTGCATGGCCAGGCTCCTTTGTGGTGCTGGGTTGAAGTCTCCTTCCTATTCTCTTAAACCATTTCAGACCTGGTTGGGAGGCTATGCCATTTTCTCAAGAAAGCCCATTCAATGGGTAATAAATATCTTCATAGTCTTTTGTTATATGTATGGCATCATCAGTTTTGATATCTGAACCAATTTTGTGTATATGTGGAGCCCATCTCCTTCTATCAGGCTGTTGCAGGGTAGAAGAAGGGAATTGAAGAAAGAGACAGGAGTGGTGGTGCACATCTGTAATCCTAGGAAGTGGAAGGCTGAGGAAGAGAGTTCAAGGCCACCTGAACTACACAGTGAGATGCTGTCTCACTCAAAATTAAACCCAAAATAAACAAATAAAAAAGAGTTGAATATTAAAAAAGAAAAATAAAGAGAGAAAAGGGCAGGAGGAATGTTATCCAGGAAAATTGAGAAGGGACAGTAATTGAAGAGTCAATCAGAAGACACTATTGAAAATTTTTAAACTCACAAATTGTCACCTTCAATGCACCTTTCATACAATGGGCCTGGACTGTATTAAAAGGATCAAGATGGAAATGTTGATGAACACAGTGATGATGATGGATATTAACTTTAATAATAAATATCATTAATATTTGTTAAACATTTTAAATATTATAAATTATTTAATTGTATTAACTCATGTATCCTCACAACCCTATGAGGTAGAGAGTATTAAAGATAGGACAATTGAGTGTTAGAGAGATTGAGCAACTTAACTAAGGTCTGCTTTTTTTTTTTTTTTTTTTTTTTAGTACCATGGATCTAACCCACACCCTTGTGCTTGTGAGGCAAGCAGCAGAACCACTGAGCTAAATCCTCAACCCCTTAAGGTCTGCTGTTAATAAATGAGAAGACAGGGTTTGAACTCTGGCAGCCTCTTCCCAGGACTTATACCTTTAGCTGGTAGGTTATGCAACAATAATGAGTAATTATTAAATGTGTCCCTCAGGGGCAAGAGTAATCTTTTTCTTTTGTACATCTATAGTATGTGACTTTGAGGAGCATTGAGAAGGATGAGGGACAGAAACCCTCCTCTACTTGTTGATATTACTAGCTACTAATAGGTTTTGGCAATGGTATTATTGAAGGCAATGTCAACAATGAAAATTTAGCTATAAAATGGAAGCTAATTATATTTTTTGCTCTTAAAACTAGAGCCAGAAACATTTTTTTTGTATAGATGATTTGAGAATGCTGGTTATGGTTGGTACTTGTAATGATAGGAATGAGAAAGAAATAATAAATAGTTTTTGATTCAGAAAATATATCTAAACAGGATACTAATCTGAGAAAGAGAGTTGAATTTGACTCTCAGAGGACCATTCATGGATAATGTGAGGCAGAGTTATCACACACCTTTGAACTAAAATGTTTCTAAATTGATCTTTCCAGAACCAAGAGAATGGTTAAATAAACCTAGATATGATCTTTTTTTTTTTGATATTTGAATATAACTTCCAAAATACCTTACTCTTGCATGTTTTCTACTTTTAGGGCTCATTGTAATCCTCATTAAAAATGTATACATTTAAAAATATTTAAAAATACAAAATGTGAAGTAAAATTAGAAATCTCCCCAGTCTATACATAACCACTTCTCAGAGGTATCATTTATTAATATTTCTAGACTTTTATAATAGACAGACAGACACACACACACGCATACACATCCCTATGCAAATATATACCTATATATAAACATTTTCATCATTAACAAATATATTATGTTATATATTCTCCTAAAAGTTGCTTTTTTAACAAAAATTGTGAATAACACTCTATCTCATGCTACATTGACCTATACATTTGCCCTAATTTTATTCCTTTGTTTTACTTAGGAACTAATTTTTATTTTTTGAAAATGTAACTACACTTGAATGTTAAAGATTTGTAATTCATTTTAAAATCTTTAAAAAGCATCTTATGAGCAATAATCTTCTCAGTGTATTTGGTCTGATTCTAAAATATGACAAGAAGAAGATTAAAAAAATCAGTTATTGTTGAGCCTGCCCAGTAGGGCTTAAGAAGTTGACAAGAACAAATAAAGAGACCTTGGCACTGATAGGATGATTTAAGAATGAAGTTAGAATTTGGAAGTGATATTTCACCTCTCCTTTAAAAAAAAATACATGGATATATCTTCAGTGTCACTTGTGTTTCAAAATCTGAAGAAATCTGATTACTATATTATATGTTTAAACATTCTGTGTAGGAAATAATACTCTTGGGTTTCTATGCTTCATATGTATCATTTTATATCACTATTAAACATTGTAAAATTCTATTAATAATTTATCATGAGTCAAAATTACTTTATTATAGAAATAGTAATATAAAAATTATAAATCAGATTTATAATTTTTCATTATATGTAGTCCTTTATGTATTGATTTAAATTAATGTAGGACTGAGTATATTAAAAATCCTGATAAATATATATATATATTATTTTATTTGTGTATGAAATACTTTTTATCTATTTTAATACATATTTTATCTATTTTTATATATAAAAAGAAAGAAAAGGAAGAACAAAAATATAATAATATGGTTTATAAGATAGGATTAGCAGGGTGTTTTTTTCTTAGCACTTTTCCGAGTTCAAATTATCTAGCATTTATTCATATATTTAAGATGCCTTTGAGCAATTTCAAGGAGCCAAGGATATACAAGCGATCAAAACACATAAATGTGGGGCCGGGGATTTAGCTCAGCGGTTCGGTGGCCTGCCTCGCAAGTGCAAGGACCTGAGTTCGATCCCCGGTACCCCACGCCCAAAACAACAACACACATAAATATGTATTACTTCAAAATCAATAAATATGATTAAAATAAACTGTAGACAAAATACTGGGATGAAATAGAATGTTTCTTCTGGATCTTAACTGTCAAAGAGCTATAGGTCCTAAAAAGCCAATTAGCTTCTCTGGGATATAAATTTTGATTTAACTTTTAAAGATGCAGGCTTTTACAAAACTCAATGACTCCTCTCCTAGGTCTGTGAACATTGGGGAAACTACCCTCAAAATTGAGTGGGCCAAAGGATTTGGTCAAGACAGCTCTGAATTTTAGGGCTGCTCTGGTACTATTTCTGGCCTGAACATGCTTCATTGAGTTATAAATGGTATTTTATCTGTAATAAATGATGCTGAATACTAGTAAATGGCACGATGATGGGACTGATGGTGGGGGTGGAGAGTGGTGAAGGGAATGAGGTGGAGTGCCTTAGCTAACTATTGCAAAATAAAAATATACCTTTCACAGTAAATAATATACAATATACGCTTGATTTTGAATAGATTTTCTAATGGTGCAAAGATGCTTTTTACTGACTGAATCATTTGACTGGTTTTATTTATTCTAACTTGTTTTATTTTATCTATTTTTGAGCATCTATCTTGTATCAGGCACTTGTGAGCTGGAAAGAAATGGTCAACAAGGTGGGTGGATTCCTGATTTTCTTTCTAAGGAGAAAGGTAGACAATAAAGTGTTCTAATACTTTAGATTTCAAGTAATCATAAAACTAGACAAATAAAAATGGGTAATAGTGAAAGGGGAAGCTTATTTTAGACAAGAAAGAAACCTATTTAAAAAGATATTTGAACAAACTTCTGAGTGAAAGTGGGAGCTGGTTATGAGGAGAAGATGGAGCAGGGGGAAGCACTCTGGGCAGGGGGAAGAGAAGGCCAAAGCAGAGGACTGCAGATGAAATGAGATGCATGTGCTTTAGGACAAGCAAGAAGGCCAGCAGTGGAGAGCAGGATGGAGGGACAGATAGATATACTGGGGGAATTCAGAGCAGTTAGTAGGGGACAGATCACGGTACGAAGCATGAATTTGGTTATGAGTGTAATGGCAAAAAGCTGAAAAATTTTAAGCAGGAGAAAGCTATGATCTAATGATTCAAAAGATCTCTCTGTGTGCTATAATGAGAATAGATAAGGGGCCAAGAAGGGAAGTAAGGCATCTAGTTAGAGACATTTGCTTGAGGAAGCAAGAAGTGATGCATTGAAACGTGGAGGAAGCTGCCTATAAAACTAGAGTGGTGTTATTAGCAAAATGGGTCACTAGTTTGAATTTAGGTCTATTCATATGTCAAGGTACTTTGCAAACAGTAGGGGCTGAGTAAATGTCAATAAATTGCCCACGTAAAAGGCTGTACCTGTGCTGCTATAGAAAGCTAATCCACTGGATGCACTGAACTCCTCAATGAAGAATTAAGAAAGGTAAACATGTTCTTCAGTATTTAAGGATTTGTTCCCATGTTTCCAGTATAGCATTAGATCCTCCTCATTGTAAGCATCTAAAACAAGACAATAGCATTCCTATAATTGCAACAAGCTATTTTAAGTTCTATGAGGTTCATAACCAGTACAGTTTGGTACCTCCAGTGCCTGGTCCAATGACACATATTTTTGAGTGCCAAGATTTTTTTTTTCTAAAAGACTGATCATATCCCTACCTCCAAAAAGAAGAAGAAAAAAAAAAACTTCTAAAAATCAGTCCTCATGACAGATATACTGTCAGGCTTTTATTATGCTCATGTGTTTTATTAAAACTTTCCAAATAGCTGCTCCTCTGTCTGAATGTTTTCTTAATTACAAAACAGGCCTCAGAGCAATACCATAGCACTGCCTCACAGGCCTAACGCTGACATTAGGTTCTCAGGCCCTTTCATGCTGTACCTCTACTCGATGAAATTCCACAATGAATCCAATTTATAATAATTTTTTCCCCCAAAATTGAAGTTTCTAATGGAATTGTGAAGAAATATCTGTGGAGAAAATGTCCATTGTGATTCTCAGTATTTCGGCCAAATTGTAAGGAAAAAAAATCACAGTCAGCTTTTAAGACATCTAATAAAAATCACACTGATGGATCAAAGCAATTGGCAGGGAGCTGGCTCAGATACTCTTGCTTAAGGGGTCTATGCCTAGAGCTAGGTTTTTCTGGGGATCCTATATACACTTAATGGAGATTGTGACTCCTCTAAGGACATGAATTCTAGAACTACCCAAATGTGGAAAGTCTGGGTCAGATCTGCATAATAGTATTAGAAGTATACACCATTTCAGGGAGCAATTCCTTTATAACCACTGTGCAAAGTGCAGAATGTTTTTATCAAAGCTCCCCCACCCCACATTTTAGATAAGATGACCATTGTCTTTAGTAAAAACAAAGCAAAGCAAAGCAAAACAAAACAAAGCACTACACAGATGTTTGGAAAAATATATCAAGATTCTTAAACACTTGCTAAGAGCATACTTATTTCTTGGCAAGTGTGTAATGTGTTCAGATGAGGCGCACTCACTCCATCAGGGAGTGAGACTTATAGCTTTCCAGTTTGAGAGAACAGTTTTGGATGTCAAGAGGAAACCTGCTGAAATCCATAAAGCACATGGCCAAAACTGTTATCCTATAAAAGGAATGAGAAAAAGAAAACTGCAGATCATTTAACCATATGGCCCAATTAGCAGTTTTGAAGCTTCTTTATTGTTTGTCGGTTTGTGTGCCTTTCAAGAATAATGCAAAACAGGTGTTACTGTCTTCTGTCCAAAAAATGTACAGTCTGAGGAAACAAACCAAGAAGGGTGGGTGACTTGCTTAAGGCATAGGTTAATGACTAAATTCCAACTCCCATTACTGCTTTTGACCTCACTGTTTTGTGGTCGGTGCCCCCTGTATTTTTTGGCTTTGGTGTACATTTCAAATTGAGGTGATTTTAAGCAGATTTAAATATTTTCTGCTTTTGGAAAGACCCAAACTTTAACAGCCTCTGACAATAAAGCTTTGTGTTTGTGGTAAATACATTTATAGGTAAAAGTTTCCTTCATAAAGCAAGTTTACTTGAGGAAATTCTCTTTGTAGTAGTGAGGAAAAAGCCCAGAGCATGTTAATCATAGGTATATGTGCAAAATGCATAATTCAGATGGTGCTGTTAAGTCAAAAGGTTTGCATTATGATGAGGCTTATTTTTTTTTTCATATTTTACATTCTAGATTTTCCTGGCTTCAGGCAGAGGCTGTTGTACTATAATCTTGCCTCAAAGTAGAAACTTTGGTATATAATAGCAGATCAGAGGTTCATAAAGAGGCCCCAAGCAAGTCTGCAAAACAAAGGTAACAGATGTTCCTGCACATGGTGCCCTGAGTTAATCAGAAAAGTAGAACTATTTTAACTTCTATTGGCTAAGTTCAATAGTCACACCAAATTGCCAAGCTAGGAAAGTATCTGGATAATTTTGTGTAAACAAAACCTTTCTATGGTGCTGTATTACTAGTGTGTGAAAGCTGGAAGGGACCTCTGAGGTCTTTCAGTCTATTGTTTCATATTGCACATGAAAAACTAACAGCTATATTAGTGAGCTTTCTTATCTCTGGGACACAATATCTGACACACACACAACTTAAAAGAGGAAAGGTTTAATTTGACTCGTGGATTTTGGGAATTCAGTCTATGATCAACTAGCTCCAAGAAAGAAACATCATGGTAAAACAACTTGAAGCAAAGATGCTTAGTTCACGGCAACTGAGAAGCAGAGTATGGGAACTGTGTCAGAGAGGAAGGAGCCAGGGACAAGATATACTACCCAAGGTCATACCTCTGTGACCCATCTAGACTCAGCAGTGTATTTTATCAACCCCCTAGGCAGCTCCCACGCCAATCAAGTTCACAAGTAAACTTAATGATCACAAGTATCAAGGAGGTTAGACACAGTATCAGAACCAAGTAACTTGATGCTGGTTTTAGATGTGCTTTGTTCTTGGATGGAAGAGTTGTGCCAGTAACAATTCTGAGTCCTCCTAAATTTTGGAATCTCCAAGACCACCCTCAGGTTCCCTGACTCATTAGAAAGTCTCACAGAACTCAGCAAAGCTGTTGCACTCATGATAATATTTACTATAATGAACAGGTTAAAATGGTACCAAATCCCAGGGTCAACAAGAGACCAAGGGTAAGTTTTCCATTTCTTTTCCTAGTGGAATTATGTAGACAGTGCATCAATCTCTCAGTGACAACATGCATAAAATACTGTGAACTGAGGAAGCCTTGGTATCCAAACTTTCAATGGAGAGTAAGTAGACTATGTAATGGTGGTCACCCATGTGGCTGACTTTAGTCTCCGGCCTCTTCCAAACGTCAAGTTTAAACCATATGGCTCAAGCCCCCACCATGAGCCATATGGTGAACATAGATCATCTGGCATGGTTCATGGATTCCAGGTAAGCAAAGATCTTCATGAAGTAGGCTAGTCCAAGCAGCTAGAGCTTATCTCTCAAGAGCCAAATTTTTTTTCCTTTTTCTTTAGAATGTGTAAGGCAAGAAAAATCCACCAACCCTTACCATTCGTCCCTTCACCAAACAAAATTTAAAACAGTTGATTACTTGGCCAGACTCTGCTCTTCTGGCTTCAATTCCTAGTGACTCTTGACTCTAGTGCTTATGAGTCCTATGTTACCCTGATTTTAAAGTCTTACCGAAAACACATTTTTTATTAACTGCATTTATAAACATTAACATCTTTTCTGAAATGACTGGCAAGAGCTCCTTTGTATTTTTTTTTTTAATGCTGGGGATTAAATCCAAAACCTTCACATTGAGCTTCATTTCCAGACATTTAACATTTAAAAAAAATTGAGATAGTCTTACTAATGTTCAAGATTTCTCTC